AGGTGAAAAGGGTGTATATTTTTACTTTTACTTAACAACACAGTGATTTAAAGACAATCTCTCTCTCTCTCTCTCTCTCTCTCTCTCTCTCTCTTTGGCTGTGAGCTGCGGGCGCCTGATGAGCCACCATCCCCCACTTTCATCACAGCGCTCATCGTACAGGGCAAATGGAAAATGTAACCGAGGTGAAAAGGTTTGACTTAATTATGAATGTTGTTACATTAAGGCCGAAAATTAGGATGAGTACCAACGGTCCAAAAAAAACGTTTGCCTCACAGAGCTACCAGCGCAGCGCCCCCCCAGATCTGGCGCCTAACCCCCAGTTTCCACCGGGTCCGTCTGCGCCGCGCTGCGCCGCGTTATGGCTGCTGATGTAACCAATGCTTACTGCAAGGACAACATCAGAAAGGACAAGGCCTGGTTTTTAGTCGCTGCAGTTTGTGGAGTGGAAGGTAACAACTACATATTAATGTTTTAAAGTTAATTAATACCTGAATTAAACCCGAATCAATAACAAAACTGCGAGCCTGCTCGCACAACGCTACACTTCTGAAACGCTTCTGGGACGCGTCCGGTGGGTTATGGCGCTAGACCAAAACCGCGGCGCAGCCGTGACACGGCGTAGTGCGGCGCAGACGGACCCAGTGGAAACTGGGGGTAACCAGTTTATACATCATATAAAATAGTGTGTTTTTCCACTTCCATGATGAAAACCTCATCGTCCATTGTGCGTATCGTAGTGGAGGTGTTGTGATGAAGGAGGGGGGTCTGCTAAATCAGTATATGTGGGGGATGGGCCTGGCCCGGATGCTCACCTTTCCACTTCCTGTGAGGGGGGGCTGCCTGCCTGACCTTACGTTACGGCTGCGCCGCGGCAAAAGTAGGATTCATCCTAATTTTAGAGACGTGGCGCGTGTGGTGGAATAGCACCCATTGACTAGAGTGGCCGCGATCCTTACGACCGCCGCGGCGCAGCCGTAACGCGGCGCAGACGGACCCGGTGGAAACTGGGGGTTAGGCGACCGCCTATGACTATGCCAAAAAACTGTTTTTGTTGTATTATATTTGTATTTAATCTTGTGGTGGTGCAGAGCCCCTATCCTCTATCAGGGGGTGCTGCAGCACCCTCAGCACACCTACTTCCCACGGCTCTGCCAACCGCCATAGACACTCCCCACTACACCCCAGGTCAGGCCGTTTGGCTCTATTCAAATAATATTACGCTCTATACTGAATCCCATCAACTTGCCCCATGGTTCAGTGGTCCATTTATCATAGTGTCAAGCTCCGTAGGATTTGAAGATTCACCTCCACTCAAGCAACCTGAGCCCTCCAACCATTCCTTGCTCCACTTCCTTCCCTCCTCCCAGGATTGTCGCGACTGCCAGTTGAAAGCCTCTTAACTCTGCCTTGGCCTGTGTGCTTATTGAAGCCGATGAACTACATAACTGTGTTTCTATGTTCGCACATTGGGGCTCAGTTCATTCACTCTCTATGAGTTAAAACAAAAAGTATTTCTTATAAGGTTTTTAAAATAACTTCTGACAAAAATCTTTGGACCAATGAGTTGTGATCAAAGGTCTGGGATAATTCTCTCATTAGTTTACTGTACAATTATTGGTATCACTTTAAGAGCTTTATAATGCATATAACGCACCTCTACTCTACTGCTATTTTTTGCAAAACAAATACACTTTTCTACAACTAATCATTAGCTACGTAGCTTTCAAAGAAAACCAACTCTATGCATTAGGCCGTATGGTTGAGTGGCTATTCTTGGTTGATTTAGAGAACGTCATTTTAGGCGTTTTTTCCTTGGCTGTAAGAAGTTGTTTGTGAGGTTTTTACTCTGTATTTTACCTTACCGTCCTTGCAATCATTTTAAATAACTGTGTCCAACGCTTAATTATTATAAACATCTGTCTCGCAGTCAGCCATTGGACGGTCTGAAGAGAAGCAATGCATTTTTAAGAGAATGAGAAGGTCCAGTAAACTCACGTCTCATACTCAGAAATATCTGTCTAATATATTCAGGCATTTTTTTGCAAAAAAAGCCACAAACTATACAGTTGCAAAGCACTACTTACTTAATTTGATGGCATATTTAGGATATTAGACTATTAAAACATTTTATTGCTTGGACACACGTAATTCTATCTCATGCTGCAAACTCTTTACACTGATTTACTGGTTGCCAGGGGGTGTTGTCTGGAGGCGGAGCTCCTCTTTGGATCCTTGTCAAAGTTATGTATGTCGATACTGTGTTTCAGCATTCAGAATGATTGCGGTCAGCACACTGCACTGGTTTCTCTTTGTTGATGTTGTGGCACCTGTTGAATAAAGATTGATTTCACTCGTGTTTTCATCCAATTCATGACAATTCTCTGCATTTCCAGGCTGCCTTCTGCTCTGCCCGGGGGTTGCCTCACCCTGACACTAAATTTAGCTACGCTGCTCAGGGTCTTTTAACATGTCATGTAAAAATAGCAAGGAGGAAAGTCTGCTCACAAACAGCAGATATACAGGACAGACTGAGGTTAAGCTGATAAAAGTTAACTGCAGTAACAGAGTAAAGACAAATAGACAAATATAGTAAAGCTGACAGACAGGCAGACAGACAGACAGACAGACAGACAGACAGACAGACAGACAGCAGACAGACAGACAGACAGACAGACAGACAGACAGACAGACAGACAGACAGACAGACAGACAGACAGACAGACAGACAGACAGACAGACAGACAGACAGACAGACAGACAGACAGACAGACAGACAGACAGGCAGACAGACAGACAGACAGACAGACAGACAGACAGACAGTTCACCTGTTTTTGCTCACAACAGGAGGTGTTACCAGAGTGTGAGAGTGGGACAGAAATACAACAGGTAAGTCAGGATCAGTTTACTGATTCATCTGAATTTATTGATCCTGGAAATTGTTTTATTTATTATTGTAATTGTAATATCTCAAATTAATGTTGGAGTTGTTGAAAGGATTATTTTAGTTTGGAAGAAGGTCGTGTGGGCTAAGCTTTGGCTAGGCTAAACCAGGCTTAGGGACTGCTATAATGTACAGAGGAAGAGAGCCAAAGATAAGGGTTATACATTTATTTATTTATAAATAAAAGTATGTTACAGGTGTTGGTGGACTATGTCTACATATGTGATAAAGTAAAATAAAGCCTTTAGTGTTTACAAAGTGAGCTGTATGAAATCTGATAAATGTCCTCAAGCGATGTCACTGGAGTCAGCGTCACGTGATCCTGAGTGAGGTCTTCCCCTCAAACCAGCATCATATGTGTGCAGGACACAAGGGACAAGGCTTCTGTTTTCAGTTCTCAGTACTTTTGTTTAACCAACTCTGTGGATATTAGTTTCTCACATTTCTAAATCAGATGTGTTTTATTTTAGCGGTCACTTTCAGCTGTGTAGGAATTGTGTTGAGTTTCTCTTAATGACCGCCATAATGTCCCAGCATTTCCTGATTCTGCTGCTGTACAAAATCAGCACAAATGCTTTAAATGTGTAAAATGTATTGGTAATGACATAACTTGAGTTTGCTGAGCTTTTTATCGGCAGCTTTTAAGTAGCAACAAGCAGTCTTTCTGCTGAGCAGAACTAAACACCTGCTGGAATACTGGACATTCCAGGAATATTCCAATATCTTGCAAAATTATCTTCTTAGTTTTCCCAGAGTTCATTGTGTTTGAACGTTTTTGTAACACACAACATGTGTTGTGAGAAACCCCTCAGATGTTGAGGTCACTGTCATTTGAATCTCGGCAGTTTAATGGGGGTCTTCTTCAATATCAACATGTGAATGAGCTCATTCCTTAATTGAGTTATGGTTATTTGGATGAGTCAGCTTCAACACAGACACTGCTAAATCCCAGAGTCCATCCTCCAGACAGACAGAGAGCCATGGTCTCTATTTTGAGAGGTCTCTATCATTTCATTAGAAGACTTGTATCGACTTTACTAGTTAAAGGACCATAATGATATTTTTCAATATATATCTGCTCATTAACGATGAACAATTTTGCATTGTTCACCTCTTTTTACATTGATGTTTTTACTTAATTTCCATGAAGAAAAGAACCAACAGAGATTTGAAACCATAATAAATGATCACTAAGTGGTGATAATGATTAAGCTACTGATAGAAGCAGTGCCTCCACCTCTACAGAGCGTGTTTTATTGTTTCTTCTGAAGCATGCTGCTGCCTGTGTTTAATTTTAGAGTGACGCCTGGTGTGTTGTGTCACAGTCAGCCTTCAACAGGATACTGCACTGAGAACTGGACCAAAACTGGACTAATACATTCATCTGTCCGTCTTCTATTAAAGGTAGGCTAAATATGAATACGAGAGCTTGTGAATTCTCCATACTCTTCTTTCTACCGGTCCCCTGTGTTCTGCAGCAATATCAGTATCATATAGTTATTTATACATTTAGCACAAAGGGAATTTCCTGTTTCCTTTCATGTTTAGGGAACAAACAGATGCATGCTACATGCTTTGTCTGCCTTTATACATATTTTTGTATTATTTATTTTACAGAACATAACAGTGTTTTTTAAAATAGGTTCTGTTCTGTTGGGTGTAGCTGTGATGAATTACCTTGACATGTCTGCGTGTTGCTGTAGTAAAATGTACTTCAGTCCATCAGGTATCAGATGTCTGGAGCCTGTTCCCCAGCACTGAAACACCACTAACAGCTGCAGAGAAACATGTTAAACTGTACACATGCAACATAATGCCATGGTTGATACATTTCTTGGTGTTGTTGATGTTTATTGCTTTGTGTGTCTCTTAAACAACAGGATGTCGCTCAGAGACAAATGGGAGAAGAAGGCTCAGAGTGTGGCAGACCAGATCAAACAGGAGGCCGAATGGAAGGAGAAAAGTTCCAAAGTGTGAGAATATGTGATATTTTAGTGGTTTTTGTAGAAATGTTTACCCTGGAGACAACTTCCACTTCTCATATAACGTCTATTCTGATTCACGACACAAATGTAACCAATTAGTCCTGTAATTACTCCTGAACTGAAATTAAACAACTCAAAAAAAAAGTATTTATACAGGATACCTTTATTGAGCAAGGACCATTCATTAAAATACATTAATCTCAAAAAGAGAAGAGATGCTGTATGCCATAAAAGAACATTTGTCACGTGTTTGCAAGACCTATTCATCCACCACAAACTTCTCCTTATAAAACACATAAATCAGCTGCTGGATTTCTCTTTATTTACCATTGCTACGTTTCTCAGTGTACATATTGATATATTATTAGGATAATATGTGAGTTGATTCTAATGTTTTCTGTCTTCGTTTTTAAATGCAGAGTTTCATCAAAGTGGAATTATCACTGGGGAATTGTTGCCACTGGAGACTTCAAGAAGCTCACCAGTGGGGCAGATGAAGAGGAAAAAAAGAAACCGAAAATCAAATTCAAAGTGGTCGCACCTCCTCCCAAACCCAAACACGAGCCTGCTCCCCCCCCGCCTCCCCCCAGGAAAACGGCTTCACCCAAACCTCTCAGGCGGAAGCGTAAAGTTGAGGTGGATGTGTTCGGGCTGTGCTGGAAAGACTCCTGGATGAGCCTGAAGCCTCCAAAGTATCTGTTCCTGAAGGCCAAAGAGAGGAAAACCAAAACCCCGGGATTCACCACCATAGAGCTGACTAACAGCAGAGAGTTCAAAGTGAAGATCTTGGAGTCAGAGCCAGAACATGCTGCTGCTCCTGAGGACGATGAATGGAGGCTCTCCTGGAAGCAGGTGATGGGAGCTTCACATCAATACACACACAACGCCTGGACAACGGTCAGTGTTGTTCATATTTTGGACAAAGTTTGAATGTCCGACAAGCTGTTCTTTTATTGTCATCTGCACATTAGCTACAGTGTAGATATGGCCATGAAAAACACAGGTCACAGGCTCCTCCAACAGTGCAACATATATATATATATATATATATATATATATATATGTATATATATATAGAGGACATAGAACAAATAAAACAGATTTTGCTTTTTTATCTCACCAAGGTACTTAAGATACACTTTTATGTATGCAAAAAGTTAAAACTAGAAAAATGAAATACTTTGTCTAAATAAGACTGAGACTCTTAAAGTCACTTTTGTGATTTTAGTAAGACAATCCAGTTTTGTTAATATTAATGCTTTTTTGCTTTTGTTTGTGTTACTAAGATACTTTTAGATACACTTTGAAGTGTGCAACACTTTACAACTGGTAGAATATGAAGTACTTTGTAAGGAATTGGGTTTCTTTAAAGGCAGTTTGTGTATATTAGGGCTGTCAAACGATTAAACATTTTAATCAGATTAATCACAGCTTAAAAATTAATTAATCACCTTTCGAACTATTTCAAAAAAAAAAAAAATATATATATATACATAGAGGACATAAAACAGATAAAATACTACAATAGAATGTTTGGAGGTTATTGGCAGTTTTTGATTAAAGTAAGACAGTCCAGTTAAACAATGTCGTTTTTGATGACTTTACTGATTTTTCTTTTTTCTGCTATCAAGATACTTTTAGATACAGTTTGTAAAACTTTACAACTGGTAGAATGTTAATCACTTTGTAACACATTTATTTTCTTAAAGTCTGTGACTGTAAAAGGCAAGTTTGAGATTTAACATGTATTTACTGACACTTGATACAATTTGACTTTAAATACTGATGTGTTTATTCAAAACCATTTCAACACACAATGACTTTTTCAAGATCTTTTAGACAAACTATACTATGACTTTCTTTAATATTTTTAGAAATCCTATACTGACATTGCAGACGATCAAATACTTGGACTTTTTTCAAGATACTTTTGACATACTATACTAATACTTTTTAAATAAATGTTCGGACATTCTACACTGTGACTCTTTTTAAAAGATATATGAAATACTATGACTATGATTTGTTCAACATACTGGTGTATACAATAACCTTTTTCGTATTTTGACCTCCTTCGTGATATTTTCATAATATTCTATTCTTATACCTTTTTTTCTCTATATTTTCAACACACAACACACTGTGGCCGTTTGGACACTATGCTATTTACTATTTACCTTTTTTTATTTTCGATATATTATTTGACTATGTATTTTTTAAAGATATTTACGACACATTTTATAGTTATAAGATTTTTTGTTTGTTTTGTTTTTTCATAGTATTTTCGAACATAACATACAATGACTTTTTTCTGTCCGGTAACAGGAGGGGCCATACAGTATCAGTGTAATAAAACTGTGAAGTGTCAGTGGTTTAACACCTCTGAACCCATCTGAACCACTATCTGAAGCGGTCACTAGCCTAAAATGATACAAGCCTCGAGCCTTCACCAAAAACTTCCTGGATAACTCAAACCGTGTTCCGAAGCCTCGGCTCGTCACATCACTAGTTGTCACCCTGGCTTTGCCACAATCTATTGTTGGTTGGCTTGGTTAAGGTGTGCCACCTTCATGTATGTGGAAAAATAATGAAAGAAAGTGATTCATGTTTAGTATGTACATAATGTGTTTTAAAAATGTTTTAATATACTATGTTGAAATGAATTATTGTATAGAAAAATAGGATACAAAAAAAAAGTCATGTTATAGCATACATTTTTTTAAATTAAATTAGTCATTATATATTATGTCCAAAAAAGAAGAAGATATATATATTTATATATGAAAAAAGACAAAATAAAAGTATGTTGAAAATGTGAAAAAAAAGTGTGGTAAAATAAGATGTGGAAAAAATACAATCTCGTACGCCGAAAAATAAAAAAAACCTCAACAAGAAAACAAGAAAAAAAATAATATAGTATTTAAAATAACTCATGAAAAATGTAAGGTTAAGTATGTTGAAACATTTGCTGCTACAATGGACGCAGGTTAAAATCCACCCTGCTACCTTTACACGTTTCATCCTCTATCTCCCCCTTTAACACTGTCATTATCCTTTAAAGTCTAATCTGACCCAAAAATATTCTTTAAGAAGAAAAAGAAAAAAGTCATTGTATGTTATGTTCGAAAATACTATGAAAAAACAAAACAAACTAAAATAAAAGTCATATAACTACAACATGTGTTTAACAGTATGTCAAAAATATCTTTAAAAAAAACATAGTCAAATAATATATTGAAAGTAAAAAAGGTAAATAGTAAATAGCATAGTGTCCAAACGGTCATAGTATAGTGTGTTGAAAATATAGAGAAAAAGAGGTAAAAGAATAATGTGTTGAATTGGTTTTGAATAAACACATTAGTATTTTAAAAAGTCAAATTGTATCAAGTGCATCAGACAACTCAAATTACTCCATTTGAACCATATTATAAATAAGAAAATAATGGTCATAGTATATAGCCAGGCTATTAAATAGTTTTTGAATGGGGGCAGTTTATGAAGTGATCCAAAATAAGGGCTCAAGAAAAATATGCCTTGAAATATGAGAAATCATGTTAATAGCTACAGATAAAGTAATGTACTACAACAACATAGGAGTGCTTATATTGTATGTTGTAAAAGCATTACAAAAATCAGGGAACCCAAGCCCAAGGGAAGCCCAAGACATTCCTACATTTAGATGACATGTTCAGAACTCAGTACATGTAAACCATTAACTCATTTAACCATCAACATCACAAGTGCACACACCAGTGCAAACAAAATAAACAGGCTAGTATGCATTATGATTTTGAATAAAAACATCAGAATAAAAAAAAAAGTCAAACTATAAAGTGCATCAGACAACTTAAATTACTCCATTTCAATCAGGAGAGACAGTTTTGATGTAAGAGTACATATTTATTGCCAGAAATACCAACCCAGTCTCACAAAAAAACGTGTAATAACTACGTTGGTCCACAAGGTTGGACTTAGTATTTCTACAAAAACGCCTCTGAAATGGTAAGATCCCTACATTTTTTTTCACCATTCATTCCAATGGCTGGCGTCTATGTCACGTGATCTTCACATTTCTCCCTGCAGAAAAAAAGAAAATGGCCGAACTTCGTTTTATTCTCGGTGTAAAATGCCTATTTTAAAGTTAGTTTGGCCATTAAAATGCGTTTTGATGTCATTTGATGCGAGAAATATGAGTTGTTATTTCAGATTATGTGTGCAGTGGATGTACATGATCTTTAGTTTGCTAGTTATTACGAAGATTACTTCAGGAAATTGTGTCTATACAACGTTTTCATTGTTACCAAGGTGGTTGCTAGGGACGCTACTATCGATATTATTTCTGTTATGTTGTGTAACTGTTTAATGGTGTTATCTTTATTGCTACCCCCTTCCCCGTCAATGTATAGTGTTGGTGGACAGCGCAAACGTATTAGTTTAACAAAATCCGCATCTAAAATAGATACGTTATTTTCCCCTGTGCAATTCCAGTCTCACATTTCACATCACATACCGGACAAATACCGGAAACAGACCGAAAACACTTTATTCCGAGTGTGCTTGCTTTTCTCTTTGAAAGTCATCACATAACATCATTGTAATACACGGTTCGGCTGCATTAAATGTTACATATCTGCTGTAATTCTCTATTTATAGAGCCTTGATGAGAAGACTTCTAGACAAA